GGGTGGGTAATCAGGGTGGAGTGAGTCGGTCGCTGATCAGATCCGCGCGATGAGACGGACCAGAGCACCTGATTGCGGCCCGATTGTTGGCCGCCCCGCTTTCACAACTCTTATCAGGGTGTTGCCAAAACGGCGGCGGCGCGCGTACCGTCGTGTCGGTGCACGCCGGGCCGGCGCGGCGCGGCCCCGACCAGGAAACGACCACCGCGGCCCCGTAGCGCGGAGGAAGAAAGGAAGTAAGCGCGAGAGATCTCCTTCCGAGATTATAGATTTCATATTTTGCGCGGCTCCCGAAATCCAGTTCTCCTACGGCGCGGCGGTGCCATTCCCGATGAAACGAGCGCTCCATCGCCCGCCGAGCGTTAGCGCGTGGGGTGGGACTCCGCGGCACTGCCAGAAATAAAACAAGTGCGGCCGCTCGCGGCAGTACAAATGTAGGGAGGCGGAGAAAATGGCAGGGTAGGCGACGACGGCAGCCCGGGTGGCGCCTTGGCCGCCTTGGCCTGGCCGTCCCGACCAGCCCGACGCGGACGGATGTCAACATTTGGAGGCTCTCCGTGTTTGACTTTTTCCGCCACTTAGCACGGCCGCGTCTCCCAGCCCGCCAGAGTACGTGCGTCATGTGCGGCTCTGCTGGCAAAGTGTGGGTACGCCTATAGCCGGGATAGCGAAAATACATTCCACGAGCCGGTGGGACTGTTATCCGGGGCTCGGCCAGGACCGTCCTCGCTCTGCCCACGCCCGCCCCGGCTCCCAGGGCGGTGACGCAGTGCGAGGCAGGTGGTGACGTGCGACCCGGTGTGACGCGGAGGAGGAGGAGGTGGTGGTGCTGCGGCCGCGCTGGTGCAGTTATCGGGGGATGGACGGCTCGCGGGTCTGTGACGGGTCTGTGACGGGTCTGTGACGGGCCAGTGACGGCCCGGTGACGGGCGTGGCTGGCGGGGCCTGGTTAGCAGGCCGCGCACGTAGGTAATTCCCTACTGCACTAGCCGGTGCGGTAAGGAGGTCACTCTGCCGCGCGACGGGACATCTTTCATAATAAGTCGCATCAGGACGACGTCGTTGCGTGGGCCGGCCCCTCCCCGCCTGCCCCGCCCAACAGGCTCGACTTGGCTGGGGTCAGCCGCCGGGTCAGGGCTTGCTGCTCAGGGGGTTGGCGTCCCCTCGAGCCTCGTCTCAAACCGTTCTCCCGGCCGCCGGCGCGGGGGAGGGCCAGGAGGCCCGGGGCGGGGACAGCGGCTCGCGCTCGCCGTATTATATTTGTCGCTTTTTATCCTGCTCTGCAAAACTCCCGCGCGGCTCAAGCCCGGCTCGCCAACGCCCACGACACGGCTGCCGCGCCGACCCGGCACACGCACCTAACCGTAGCGTGGCGGGGCGTGGCGGGGCAGGGCAGGGTGTGGCGGGCGGGGAGTGATTCACCACAGAGGTCACGCAGGGGGTCGTGTACTCACCTGGAGTGGCGCTCCTCCTCGGACTGGGACCCCCTCCTGGTGTGGCCGTCGCGCTGCTTCCGGCGGGCCGGCACCACGCCGTCGTACTCCCGCTCGCGGCCGTAGATGGAGCCGCCGAAGGGGTCCTCGCCCAGGTAGTACTTCCTGGTGGTGATGGCGTCCACCGTGTCGCGGCCGTCGCCGTTGAGGTCGCCGTTGCGGTGCGGCTGCGAGCGCGACTGGGAGCGCTTGAGGCCGCTGCGCGCGCCCGACTGGCGGGGCGGCGCCACAGGGGCGATCTCCTCGGGGGAGTCGTCGGTGCCGTCGTTGGGGGAGGAGCCGTCGCCATCCTGGGCCGAGCGCCGGCCGCTCTTGCTGCGCTTGCTGCGGCTCATGCCGAGCAGCGAGCCCTCCGCGGCGCGGTACGTGGGGCTGGGGGAGCGCGACCGCGACGACCCTCCTCGCGACTTGTTGCTCAGCTTCCTGGACGCCTTGTTCTTCCGTTCCGAGCTGCCGGACCGGAATTTGCCGACCAGCTTCCGGAAGGAGTCGCCGATGATCTGGGACGCGCTCTGCTGGTGAGCCTTCACCGTCGTGACGGGCCCCGGTGGCGGCGTGGGCGTCGACGGGTGGCGCGACGACGACGAGTACGCCGACGGCGGCGGGATGTCGGCCGCGAAGCGCGTCCGCTGGTACAGCTTCTTGTTGGCCGGCATGGGCGGCGGGCTGGGCGACGGCGACGCGCCGCGGTGGTGGTTGCTGTACTCGGGCGAGGACGGCGGCCAGTCGCGGAACGAGTCCTTCTTCCTCAGCGCGCTACCGGAGCTCCGGTAGCCCACCTCGTCCTCCTGCAACAGGGCGAGCGCCGAGGTGAACACGGTGGCACCCGAGTCGGCCGGGCCAGACCTGGCCAAGCCAGGCCGCCGGATGAAACCCAACACCGGGTGTCGTGGGAGTGAGGCACCGCGAGGGCAGCCACGGCTCCACCCGCCAGCTGGAGCTCCACGCAAATGGACATCGGGGTGCTCTAGCTTCGCTTTCGCGGAAATCGCACACTCACACACATGCAGACATGCACACCAGTCATTAGTCACCCCAGTCGCCCATTCGTTGTACGGGAGAAAAACGCTCGCACTGGCCAGCATTTAGACCGGAACTCACTCACCTCCCTCTCACTCACACACTTTCAAGACATTCGTGGAAACTTGCCTATCACACTTCAAAACACCGCCTGTCAGAGAGCGAGCAAATCTCTCCCGTTCTGGTAGCCAGAAAAGTCCATTCTTGGCGCAAGAACATGCGCTTAGCGTAATCCGAAATTTACCTTGTACTACGGTGAAAAAAACATGTGATGAGTAAATGTTTTTCAGGCTTCAAGCTCAATTTTTTGCGCCAAGAACACCCTGTTGTTTTTCGTGGTTCCTTACCGGTATCCTCTCGAGGGCGGGCATGTCGGCGGAGAGGTAATCCTATAATCACAGTCACTCGGCGGGAGCACCCGTCACCCGGGCGGCATGATGGTGTCCGGGCGCGGGCGGGGCGGGGCGTGACGGGGGCGCGGCGGAGGCGCCCCGCGGCGCGACGGCGAGCTACACGGTGCTTTACTACATGATCGGGCCGACGGGCCGACGCGAGACTAGAACGGCGATCGGGGGACTAATCACGAGTACGGCGGCGATCGCGAAGCACCCAGAGCGCGCGGGGTGCGTGTGAGTGTGAGTGCGGGTGGGCGTGTGTGTGTGTGTGTGTGTGTATGTGTGTGTGCGGTGGCGAGCGGTCGCGGCGAGGGTCGGGGGCTGACTGGCCCCGCGCGGCTCGGTGAGCCCGCCGCGGCTCAGTGCGGCGGCGGCGCCGCGCCAAAGAAGAGGGGGCTGGCGGAGGGGGTCAGTCCAGGGTTTCGCTAGCCTCCTCCCACTCGCGCCGAGCCTTCTTGGGGGGCTCCCTCGCCAGGCCGGGGCGCGGCGGGGCGTGGTGGTGCGGCGGTGCTCTCGCCGGCCAGGGCGTCCTACTGGCTGCTGCTGCCGCCGCTCGGGACGCCGCCACTGCCGCTGCAGCAGGTCATGCACGGCGACAAGGTCCCCCGCAGCAGCCGCGAGAGGACAGTGTCGCAGCAGTGTGTTTGCCCGCGTGTTCTTGTCACTCGCGACCACTCATCTACACAATGGATCCTCAGTCCAGTCGCGGTTCGGGTCCTCGTCACCCCAAACTTAACCCGGTGCTAAGGAAGCAGCACGGCTCGGTGTCCCTGCGTATCCAGAAAGTACGTCCGGCATTCACCGTTTTACGAACCGGCCCGCTTTAGCCCATACAAGTTCTTATGGCGCCTGTCAAGTAGGCAACATCATACCTGCAGTGCATGAATGTACTGCGTGGTGGCCTACCCCCAACCTCACAGGCGCCATGCTCCTAAAATTTACCGAACAAATCTAAGAAAAACAAAACAAACGGACGTACTTTTCGGACGATCCCTTATGGGCGCCACTCCCAGAAGCGCTCGCCGTGTCGGATTATTTTCAGCAGCCGGCCCCGCCCGCCCGGTGACAAAACGTCCGCTCTAATGTGTCCCGATTGTTGCATCACGGGGAGGAAATGATTCCGCCGAGAGTAATACTGCCTCTGCTGGAGACTCCGGAGGGAGACGTGTGTTCTCGCGCGTGTAGGTCTCCGGTCTCCGTCTCCTGGATTGCCTTCTTTCCCCCTCCCTCCCCCATCTCCCTCACACAGACACTCGCAGACTCACGCCCACTTCTCAACAAACGACTCGACGCGAGCTACCGCCGCGATGGGCTCTCCGGAGCACTGCGGAAGTGACTCTATAAAAAAGAGTCGGGGCGGGGTGGGGCGCGCGACGGCTCGGCTCCGCTGCTCCCTGTCGGGTAGGCAGCCCATTCGACTCCGCGGGAGGTGCTGCTCCAGCCGGCCCCAGCTGTGCTCCAGCAGAGTCTCCAGCAGCAGCGAGGGGCCCTGACCTTGACTCGCACTCCAGAAAGGACGCCCGGGCTCCGGGCTTCCATACCATATGGCGTCTGGTCTGGTACTTACTAGAGGGCAGGTGTCTCTTGAAAGTAGGCCTCTCTCTCTCTCTCTCTTTCTCTTTCTCTTTCTCTTTCTCTTTCTCTTTCTCTTTCTCTTTCTCTTTCTCTTTCTCTTTCTCTTTCTCTTTCTCTTTCTCTTTCTCTTTCTCT